AACCTTGGACAAGTCCAAGTTTACTTCCTTATCTGTAAAAATAGGTTAAATAACATAATTTGCCCAAATTAGACAATGGCAGCATAGTGCTTTATTAACTTGAAGGAACTCAAAATCAGTTTTACTTGTTGCCATGATTATAGCAACTATTCTCCTCTTGCAGTTTTTATTACAGTTTGCTCAAAGATAATTGTCTGTTTCATTTTCGGTCATGTCAGCACTTCAGAGATATTGCCACTAAACAGCAACAAATGCTTTGATTCACTTGGCCTGAATAACAAGATGATTTATCTGACCTCCATGTGTCACTGTGAATTCTGCACTACATTTTCCTTTCAGTTTTACAAGTCTATGATTCCATCTTCATGTCTGGTAAAGGAAATTCCCACCAATTCCAACTCCCTCCTTTCCAAATTCAGCTTTCTTCTCTTACCTGGGGTAAAGGCTGAAAGGGATACGCAGTCTCTACTCTGAAATGTCAAACATACTTTGCAAAGGAGTGATTTTCTTATTTCAATACAGAAAAAAAAAGCACAAGATTGCTTCATTTTGTACAAGGAGGAAAAGCCGTGGGCAAATCTGACCCAGTCCAACTTTCTTCATCTCCATCAAATGCAGAAGGAGTGTAAGCACAGGGATGGTTGGAGGTGCAGATTATGCTTAGGCTCTGACAAGCATTTCAGAACTCATCCTGAGACAGGAAGTGATGACATCAGCTCTCAGATGAACTGGGAGGCTGTCATGTGCACCCAGCCACTTCCTGTCTCAGTGGATATGTAGGGAGGTGGAGGAGAGAAAAGTAGAGCATGGGGAAGTGGGTCATGGGACAACGGAGGAAGAGGCCAGACAGAAACAGTGGGAAAAGTCCCAGCTCTGCCCCTCAGTCTGTCCCCTTCTTCTTCTGAGGATGCACTTAAGTAAACCTACTTATTTCTACTCTCAGTAACCAATTTTTTTTTTTTTTTTGCTGTGAGAAATGGCTGACTTTTAGCAATATTCTGCTGTGAACTTTCAGTTTTCCAACTCTGGATCCTATTACATAAAAGAAATTTCTTACATAAAAGAAAGCAAGCATTAACATATTGTACAACCTACCAATTATTCATTTAGGACTCCAATGTCAAAAGGACATGCCCATTTTTTTTCTGATTTATCCCTAAATTTCTACCCTAAAGAGTAGGATGGGGAAATGTGGAGAATAGGTTGGATTATCTAAGTATCTGGGCACCAGCTATCAGCACGGGCCAGCCTTATGAATATTAACTATTCTCAAGTTATTCACTATGGAAAAGTGACAAAGTTAACTAGTGACTCATGATGCAGAGGAAGAGGTAAAAGTACAAAGTTTTTTTTTTTTTTGTATAGAGAATTTTTACAAGGTATAAAGGGAATTGGGGGTATTAGAGTTGGGTGAGGTGTCAGGCACAGTTAACAGAAAGTGGATGTGTGAGGGATGTGATTTGAGACTGAGGTTGAAGCAGAGAAGCCCAACTGCTTGTCGTCAAAGGTAGGTCCCCTCATGTTGGTATTATAAGAAGAAAAGTCACAAGTACATGAAGCCAATAATTCAGGGTAGGGCCAAAGGTGATCTCACCAGCTCCACCTTTAGGGAAGGACTGGGAAAGTGTTTAGGTGGGGTTTGCACCTTGAACAAAGATGAACTCAGAAAGAGCTAGTGTTTGGTTTTAAAGAAAATGAATTTTGGCTGGGGGTGTAGCTCAGAGGTGAAACATGTGCTTAGCATGCATGAGGCCATGGGTTCAAGAAAATAAAGAAAAAAAGGAAGGAAGGAAGGAAGAAAGGAAAAAAGAATGAATTTTGTGCTAACTCCACGTACCCAGGTCTTCATGGCTGCTGCTGACCTGTGATCTCCCACTGATATTAACAATCCATTCACTGAAACTGCTCTCTATGCCCCACCATGTCCTATCAGTTCTACACAGGGGCCACTGCCAGGAAAGAAACCCTGGGACAGAAAAATAAGTATCTGGATTTGGTCAACTGGCTTGGATGGAGATCAGCTTTGATGGCTTGATTGTCCCTCCTGTCACCAGGAAGGCTCAGTCCTATCACAGCAGAGTCCATTCTGGCTGCATGAAATCCACAGTCTGAAGGTCATGGTCAATGCCAGACTCTGATCATCTTCCTTGCAAGCTATGAAAGATTAGAAAGTGACCTCCCCTACTTGTTTCTAAGTTAGAAAAAGTTATTGTTTGATTATATTGGTAATTTGCAAAGTTAAAACATGATCTTTCAGTTAAAACATCCATATTCTGTTAACTTAATTAAACATGATTTTAATGAAGACCTGACTTGGACCTTAAAAACTTTGACTATACCACAATAACATTTTATGAGAAAAACCTATGCAAAAATCAAACACAAAACAGCCACACAACAAAAGAAGTCATTCTCTGGGTATAGTACACATCCTGAGGTGTGCAGTTTCTACCTTGTAGTGTTGTGGGCACAAATCAGACCCTTAGACAGTTGGAACGAATGGTGAGGACCACTCAGGCCTCCCGGACATCCCTGTCCAGCATGAAAAATTGTTACTGTACTCCTCAAGGCTCTCATTCAATAGGAGACATCGAAGCCACCACTCAAGTAGAGGCCTCATTTATCTGTGTCAAATGTGATACAAATTTATCAGACTTCTGCTTTCTTCATTTCCTGCCTCATTATCTACATGGGATCCAGAGCTGCACCCAAACATGTTACCCTTCCTATTGCTGCAGAGCAGTGGTCTTCAAACCTGGCAACCCTGGAGTCTCGTGGAAATGCTCACGGGGCAACATAGGGAGTTCAAGTTCAGGGTTAAGAAGGCAGGGATGACAGACCCCCACCTCGCCCCAACCTGCTTCACCACAATAATTTGTTTATGTCAGATGGTGCTATTCTAGATCACATTTGGATTTCCCACCCAGATGAAGTATGAAGCTATAAAGCTCGCCAAGTTCCAGCAATTGAGATGATGACTGAGCAGGGTAACTTCCTCATAGACCTTTAATGGGAGGGTTTTCCCAGCATCCACCGACAAGCTCTGAGGCACCTGCCTCCATATCAGCTCACATGATCTGACCCTCAACATCTTCACAGAGTAGGAATGACTATTTCTGTTTTATAGGCAAATAAACCAACCCAAAGAGGCAAAGGACTTCCTGAAAATGGTACAGCTATTTACAGAATCGTAGATCCAGGACACAAACTCTACTCCGGATGTTGAATTCCAGGTCTGCCTACAATATTGCAGAGTATGTGTTCAAGCAGACTTGAAGTGCTTTCCCTGTGTGCTCCATTCATTCTTTTGATCTCATCTTCCCAAGAAGGCCTCAAAGATTGTCCAAATAAAAGCGGGTCCAAGGGAAAAAAATGGGAATAAGAAAGGAAGATCACAAACCAATAGAAGAGGGGGATTGAGCATGTTAGACTCAATAAATAATATGTGCTATTTATCCAAAGGAACTAAAATCAGCATACTATAGTATATACCAATGTGTACAGTAGCACAATTCACAATAGCCAAGTTATGCAATCCACTTAGGTGTCCTTCAACAGATGAGTGGGTAAGTAAAATGTGGTATATATACATGATGAAGTTTTACTCAGCCATAAAGAAGAATGAAATTATCTCATTTCTGTAAAACAATGGAACTAGAAAACATCAAGCAGAGTGAAATCATTCAGACTCAGAAATTAAAAGGGTCAAGTGTTTTATCTCATATGTGGAAGCTGAGAAAGAAAGGAATTAAAAAAAAAGTGATCTCATGAAAATAGAAGACAGACCAACAGAAATGAGGAAGAGGACCAAGCAGGAGGGAGGAGGAGAGGGCATGGGGAAGTATAGGGGAATGAAAGCAACCAAATTATGCAATGTTCATGTACAAACAGACCACAGTGAATCCTGCTCACGTATATAATGATAATATACTAATTAAAATGATAATGATAGAAGGGAGATTGGTAGAGTAAGTGGATTGGGGGAGGGAAAGGGAAGGTATTGGGGAAGGAGATTAAGCAAATTATGTTATGTGCATGCACAAAATGACATAATAAATCCCACTACTATGTAAAATTATAATGTACCAGTAAAAAAATTAATAAGATTTTAAAATTGAAGATCATAAAGGCCACCTATCCTTTCCTAGATGTCTGTAAGTCTCTTTTGCTTCATACATTGGGTTTTATGGTACATGACCTTCCCAGAATAAGCAACCCATGGCCAACATTGAGGAATAAATCAAGCCAATTACTGAATATGACTAAGAGATATGATGAAACTATTAAAAATCAATAGCTGGAATTGTTCATATGTGCATTTCCTTGATGTACCAGGCACAATGGCTCTGTTTCTGGGTAATCTGCCTCTGCTCTTAAATATACTCCAGGATGCATGGGATTCCAAAGTGAACAAATGGGCAACTTCTAGGTTAGTACTAAAACCATTACCAATGAATATTTCTCAGAATCCTTACAACATAGCCCAACAAGAAAGAGTGAGAAGAGAAAGAGCAGGAAAAGAGAAGGAATCATAGTTCCTGCTTTTCCAAGAATGCTGAGGATTTACAAGTATCAGTGTCTTAGATTTAGAACTTAAAGAAACACGCATGATTTAGAAGTTGCTCTTAACTGTATGGAATTGCCTCTTCAAAAAGCTAAGCAAATTGATTGATTCAGCACTCTTTCTATGATTTGTGGGGAAATGATATAAGCATAAAGAGGTTTATCTGTCTTATAAAAGATAATATTCCACCCCCCCCCCCAAAAAAAAAAAAAAAACAGAAAGGAAAAAAAATGATATCTAAGTCAAATCTGGACATATGTGAAAAGTCCCATTATTATCTCCAAGGATGTGTACTTTGGAAGGTCTTTTTCTCATAATTACTACTAGGAACTATTTGCCAGAAATTCCTTCTCCCTGGAATAGTGATTTCATCATGAATTCAAAGAAGTAAGGTCTTTCCAAATTTGCACGCACAGTGGGCTTCTTAATACCTTACCTGAGCAGAAAAGTCGATGAGCTTCGGGAGCAGCACTTTGCCACCTTCGTCACTCTTGAGGAAATCCAGCAAACTGCCTGTTCACAGAGGAAGAACAAGGCAGTATAGTTCAAACATGCAAGAAGAAAAACCCAGGCAAAATTCAATGATATCGGGGAAGACTGACAGATGACTGGCTTTGCAGTTCTGTATGGTTATCAAACCCAGTCCCTTCCAATCTGTTAAACATAGTGCATGATCCAGGGGGAGAAAGGAGGATGGCCGACACTGCTTTTCTCTTTCTAGGTGTCTGAAACAATGCATTTAAAAGTATCTGCCCTCATCATGAGGCTGCTACATCCACCTGATCTTTAGTGGGCTCTTCTGGAATAGAAAGCTGGCAAGTAAATCCTCATAGAGGACCTGCCTTTAGCAGACACCTGGCTAGGCTCACCCTCATCTATATCTTTATTTTTTCTTTTCGGGTACCAGGGATTGAACTCAGGGGCACTCGACCACTGAGCCACATTCGCAGCTCTACTATGTATTTTATTTAGAGACACCATCTCACTGAGTTGCTTAGTACATTGCTTTTTCTAAGGCTGTTTTTGAACTCATGATCCTCCTGCCTCAGCCTCCAAAGCCGCTGGGATTATAGGTGTGTACCTGTCTGTATCTGACAAAAGGTACAGAGCTCTGTACATGCCATAGACCCTCAAATAAAAATTGTAATGCATTCAACTGCCATATATAAATAAATTTTTTAAAAAGAGTATCTGAGGGGCTGGGGATGTGGTTCAAGCAGTAGCGCACTCGCCTGGCAGGCGTGCGGCCCGGGTTCGATCCTCAGCACCACATACAAACAAAGATGTTGTGTCCGCAGAGAACTAAAAAAAAATATTAAAAATTCTCTCTCTCTCTTTAAAAAAAAAGAGTATCTGATAAATGAACTCTACCCTGAAAAAAAAGATATTTGGCCTACCCAAACAGGAGTGTGTCAACAGAAAAACTCTTTTATTTCCTGTGGTATCATGTCTAAAACAAGACCTGTTTTTCCCCTGTACTTATAAGAGTTAACCTCCTGGGTAGCTTTGGTCAAGTTACTGAGTTTAGCAAAGTCTCCATAAAATAGGCACATACTGGAGGTCTTGTGAGGATGTACTTGGGATAGATTTAAAGCATTCAGCGTGGTGCTTGGCAGGTAGAAAGGGCTCAATAAATGTTACATAGGAAATATTCTTAGCCCTCATATTTCTGAAGAGATTGAGTGAGATCACCCATGCAAGGTATTCAGAACCATCTGGTACATAGTAAGTGTTTAATAAATGCTAGGTATTGTTATGAGGAAAAGTTGTATGTATATACATTACTTAGAATGCTATTAGTTAATTAGTTTGATAATATCTGCTGAACTCCTACAAATGTCTGGCTCTGAGCCTATTTCCTGGGCTATAGCAACCCAGGCCATATAGGCTTAGTTTGGTTTTGTTTGTTTAACAATGTCCATTTTTGGAAGGACTCTGACTGCTATGCCGAAATATTAACAGATATTAAATAAGAAAATACACTATTCATCTTTCTAACCTATTTGGCTATGACATCACACTATAAAGTTCACCATGTATGAGATGACTTAATTTTGGATTATTGTTCATATTACTTTCTTCTCTTCATTCATTACTTCTGAGGACATTTTTAAAAATTATTTGAGAATTTATTAGTATCTCTACTGAATCAGAGGTGAATAAAGGAAGAAAGCTGGTAATATAAAGTCCTTTATCTGAAGGTGATAACAAAAGAAGAAAAGAAGGTTGCTTGGAACCTCTTTTTCAGAGATTCCATGATTGCATAAGAATTCAACTCAATTTTAACTTTCTTTTGTATGCCAGGCAAGCAATCTACCATGAAGCCAAATCCCCAAACACTTTATTAAAAATTTTTAAGTGACACCTTGAACATCTCTAGATAATGTCAATGAAAAAAAATGAGCTAGTTTTAGAATTTCAAGGACTTCTTTGAAATGTGTGTTCATTTATTTGACAATTGTTTATTGCAGTCTTAAGAGAGAGGATAGGTGTAGGATATTATTATTGGGCTCATAGGCATATGTAGGCAGATGCAGAGAAAACAGGATGACTATGCACCAATTTGATAACATGGATTACTTATGATGAATAGGCCTATGAAATGCTTTTTTAAAAAATATTTCCTGATTTTCAGTAGTGAACATGCTGTTTTTGAATTGAAATTATTTGAGTATTCTCTGAGCATCTGAACGTTCTACTGTGGATCAGACATCCTTTGAAGCACTGGGTATTGGGACCACTCACCCTTGGCCATGTACTCGGTGATGATGTAAATGGGCTCTTCCTTGGTGACCACGGCGTAGAGTCTCACCAGTTTGTCGTGCTGAAGAGTCTTCATGAGGTTTGCTTCTTCGAGGAATGCTTGCACAGACATGGTGCCAGGCTTCAGGGTCTTCACAGCCACCTTGGTGCTGTTGTTATAGTAACCTAGGAAGCGAAAAGATAGCAGGGCATGCCACATCAAATGGTAAATTTAAAAACTTCCCTTTTGGAGGCAGAGTTAGACAAATATTTAGTTACAGACAGAGAGAGCCCAAGATAAAACACTAGACAGTATTAAAATCAGGGAGGCTGGGTGAAGGACACATGGGAATTCTCATACTTTCTTTACGAAAAATCTAAAATTACTCAAAATCAAAGGATTTTATAATAGTAAAAAATGAATCTATTTGCACTCCATCATGAGGTCTCATATTTTCCTCTGATTAAAAAATATTATCCAAGGGCTGGGATGGGCTATGGCTCAGCGGTAGAGCGCTTGCCTAGCACGCATGAGGCCCTGGGTTCAATTCTCAGCACCACATAAAAATAAGTAAATAAAATAAAGACATTGTGTCCAACTACAACTAAAAAATAAATATCAAAAAATGTTATCCAAGACCAAAATAAACAAAAAGCTTTATGTATTTTATAATCCTTTACACACACACACACACACACACACACACACATGCACACACATGTGATGTGGAAGAAAATATGCCAAAGTATACAATGAATACTGGCTATCTCCAAGGGTGCAACTATGGGCTATTTTATATTTTTAGAGGAGTTCTTTATCATTTATTTATTTTTAATTATTATAAATGAAAGGGGGGAAAACCCAGCATGGTTTAACTTATGAGCTAGGCAGACTCTGTGCTCAATGAAAGGAGCCGAATTTTAATTCTGATTTTTCTCTTGGGAAAACCTTTCCTCAGTGGTTTGGCAAAGCGGAAATAGAAATGATCACTATGCCCTTCCCTTTTGTCTCGGTTTCCATGGTTCTTTTGGAAGAGTAAAAACTGAAGTTGAGGAGGGAGGTGCTGCTGGTGATACCCTAGAATCTTCCCATGGGTTACTGCTACCTGGTGTGTTGAAGTTTTGCAAGTACCTGTCCTAAAAAAGGTGTCATGGAAGTGGTAATTCCCCTTTGGGGGTCACAGTAACATCTGTATGTGTATAATAAACAGAGATGACAGGAAGCAGGCTCAGTCAGACCAGGAGTACCTCTGGGTGGTAGAATTTGGGATGACTTGCATTTTCTCTTATTCTTTTCTACTTTAAATAAATTTGTCAATGAGACTGAATCTTTTTTTTTTTAAATAAAAGTAGTTATTTTTAATTTCAAACCCTCAAATGGGCAAGAAAAAGTATTAGTTTACAGCCATTTAGTCATCCCTGATCATGAAGACTGATTTCTCAGGGCTGAGGTGTAGCTCAGTGGTACAGCTAGTGCAGAGTCATGGGTTCTATCCCAAGTACTGGGGGGGGGGGGGATTGATTTACTTATTAAAATGTTTCCTTTTTGTTCCACTTTGGTTTATACATAGCAATAGTTTATAGCACCCTATAGGAAAATGAAGAACTCAGTATAAAATAAATGTTAGAACATAAGAAGAAGATCATAATAGAAAGCTGGGGAAAAAATAAAACTGTCCAGATCCTGTTCAAAAGCTACAACCTACGTCAAGTAACAGAATCATGAACATATTAAGTTGAATTGCCATCTAAACCCACGATTATAAGCAATGTGGCCTTTTCTACCGATCTTGAAGGTAATTTAAAAGTAAATTCCACCAACAAAAGCCCTTTAAAATTATATGTGAATTGAGGAGATTCCTTTACAATTTTTTTATTCATTTATAAATAGATCAGTGGCCTAACATAGCCAGAAAACACACTCTCCATAACATATACAACTGAAAAGAGACTAATGTCCAGAATCTGTAAATGATTCTTATAAAACAGTAAGTAAAACAGAAAAATCAGTAGACTTGGGTGGGCATCTCAAAAAGAAATTCCAGTGACTAACAGACATATGAAAGTTACTCAATCTTATTAGTAATCAGAGAAATGCAAACAAAGCCACAAGAAAAAAATCACTGCCCAGCTTGACAATATCAACTGCTAGTGAGCCCCTGCCCATGGGAAGACCTTGGGACAGATTCCTTAGGTGCTTTTCTGTGCTCTTTTCCGTGCATCAGTGAGATTGAATTGCAAACTTTTGCAATGATATCCCAAGGGGCCCAAGGGGCTGACTGTAGCTTCCTTCCAAGGGACCACATACCAGTTGTGCTGCTCTGACCACATCCTTCTGGGTATAACTCTACTGGTCAATCAAGAAACTATTAAGAACTCTTACACATTGCTGGTGAGCATCTAAACTGAGACCAATACTTTAGAAAATAAGTCTGGACAGTATTTAGTAGAGTTGAAGATTCATAAATAGTCAACCCTAGGTAATCTTCAGGCAATTGAATCCAGGACCACTCAAGGATACCAAAATCTGAGGAGGGTCAAAGTACACAATGACTATTGACTTATATAAAATGACATAGCATTCGCATCTAACCTGCCCACATCCTCCCACATATTTTTTTAAAAATATTTTTTAGATGTTAATGAACCTTTATTTTATTCATTTATTTATATGCGGAGCTGAGACTTGAACCCATTGCCTCACACATGCGAGGCAAGAGCTCTACCACTGAGCCACTACCCCAGCCCCCTCCCACATATTTTAAATCATCTCTAGATTACTTGTAAGACTTAATATAATGTAAATGCCTCATATATTGTTCAGGGGACGATGACAAGGAAAAAGGTCTGTACCTATTCAATACAAGAGCAATTTTTTTCCTCAAGTATTTTCCATCTAAGTTGGCTTGCATCTGTGGACATGGAAGAATGGAGGGCTGACTGTACCCTACAGTCCAGCAAATTGATTCCAAGTCACCCTAGAGAAACTTACACACCCTGTACCAGCACAAAAATTGTTCCAAGCACATTGTGCCTAGTAGCCAAAACCTGGGAATAACTCCAGTTTCAACAGTAAAGAGTGAAATGAACAAACAAACTGTTACATGTCCAGAATACACATACAACAAACACCATATAGCTATGACGATAGTTGAACTGAAAAACATGAAGAAATACACAAAGATGTCTAGGAAAAGAGGCCAGGTGTAATAGAGCACATCCAGTACAATTCATTTACATAAAGCTCAAGAACAAGCCAAACTGGACCATATTGTTTAGAGATACATATGTCACCAATATAAAAGTAGTAAAACTATTTAAAAAAGAAAAACATCAGCGGGGGCATAGCTCAGGGGTAGAGCACTTGCCTAGCAACACAAAGCCCGGGGTTCAATCTCCAGCATTTAAAAAAAAGAAAAAGAAAAAGAAAGCCAGGAAATTTTATAGCAAAGGTCAGAGTAGCAGATATCTGTGGAGAACATGCAAAGCTGTGATTGGGGAGGGGTAAGGGGACATTTGGGGCCTGGCAAGTTTCCTCCCTGTGATCTCAGTGGTGGGCACACAGGCTTTCATTTTGTGAATATTCATGAAGTTGAATATTGTGTGTTATGCACTTTCCTGTCCTCTCATTACATTGCAAGGTAATAAAAGTTACAGAAACAAGACTGTTCTTCTTTTGTCATCTTACAAATAATGAGGGTTATGGAGACATTTACATACTTTTAAAGGATGAAGGAAAAAAAAAGTGCATTCCAAGGGTTAAGGGAAAAACTGGCCAGGAAATACTGCAGCTGCTGAAGACATTAAAAATGCTGATAAGGAGTTGGAGACCAACAGTGTCTAAACAGCTGTGTCCCACAGCTCAAAGAGAGCAGCAGCTTCTGCTCAGGGATCTCTCAGGCTGCAGTACTGAAGACAGTCGGGGTCTTCATCCTTACTCCAGAGGCAGGGTTTCCATTCAGCACAAGGATCAAATCATACCTTATGAGATACTCCCCTGTCGTTGAAGATTCCATGAAGGGCAGATCTGGAGATCTGAGCTGTTGTTGCAGAATGAAAATGCTTTTTTAAAATAATATTTTTCAAAGTAGTAAAGAACTTCCTGTGGAGTTTCACTTGGCCACAAAGACAGATGATGTGACAACTTGAGAAAACTCCCAATTCCAGCCATGACTGGCTTGTTACAAAGTGCCCACATACCACAAGGTGGAGGGCAGCTTAAAAAAAAAAATGTATGCATTTGACTGGAAGTTGGCAGGTAATTAATTTCAATGTAGTTGGCTCAAATAAGAATGTATCAAGCAAAATGCCACTTAAAAGGTCTCCCTTCTTCCACAAAGTCTTTTCATAGACCAAGCGGTAAGAGGAAACAGCATCCATCTCCTCACTGCTTGGACAGTTCCCTGGGAATAAAAGAATCCACAGAGGAAACATGTCGCCCAAGTCAGATGTCAAGAGGATCACACAAACAGGAGGAAACAGCTTGCGGCAGGGACACCTCTTTCTTTTATCCCCACCTAACCTCTTTCCCCAGAGGACAGGTCACTTCCTAGTATTTGTTCTCTGTATTTCAAACCAAAAAAAAAAAAAAAAATCAGGCCATAAAATGTGACAGGTAGCCTATGAACAATTCCTCATGCTTGACAAAAATGAACTCACTTGGCTGACGATGATATGATTTAAATTGGTTGCTTTTTTTTCTATTAATGAGAAAAGCTAGCCTGCTTATTACATGAGAAATAAAAACCAATTTCTGACAGCTAGAAACTGTCGAGAACTTGCTCTACCATCAACCTTTGGATGGTCAAATAGAAACACACAGCAATAGCATCACCAATCACTACTCTTTTGTTTTTATTCCCAGTATTCCTGTGCTCAACAGATTGAAATTATTTCAGTAATTAAGAAGAGATTTTCCTGGCTGACAGCCAAACTTGCAGACCCTATTGGGAAAAGATCTCAGGTCAAATTTTCTTCTTTCCTTTTCTTTTGTTTTCTTTTCTTGATAACTGGGAGCCCACTGCGCCCCCTCTCTCTTCTCTTCTCTTCTCTTCTCTCTCTCTCTCTCTCTCTCTCTCTCTCTATATATATATATATATATATATATATATATATATATCAATTTTATTGAAATCCATATACTACTGTTTACCCATTTGAAGTATAAAATTGTACAGCCATCAGCA